TAGGGAAATGTGGTTGAGTCCATCTACATCCCAGACAGAGGGACACCACCCATCAGATGCATAAAGGTGTGCACAAGTCCTCCCTCCCCCCATCAAACACAACTTTTGAGTATTGCCTCTCCATTTCAAAATGGATGCCAATGATAAAAATTAGGGTGATTTTGGACTAGGTTTGCCAGGTCTTACCAGCCTTCCAGCAGGAGGCTCCCAGGTTTGTGCCTGGATCTTCTGGCATGCGCGCAAAGTGCACACACACCATGATGACATCATCCGGAAGTAACATCATCGTACCGGGCATGTCAGTGCTCTAGTATTTGGTGCAATGTGCCCAGCATGATGATGATGTCACTTCTGGGTGATGTCATTTTGACGTTGACATGGGAGGGGGCTGTTCAGGGATGGGGCTTCCCCTGCTGGCCAGCTGGCCAGTGGGTTGTAGCCCCCAAAATCGGGGGATCCCCTGCCCTGACTGGGGGTCTGGCAGCCCTAGTTTGGACCCTCATACTCAATTCAGTGCTGGGTTCCATTGGTGAGTGGAGCTGGAGCTAGAGACAGACTAGAGAGCAGTGTTCCCTCTAAGATGAGTTAGTGGGAGCTAGTTCAAAGTTTTTTAGCCTCCAGCTCACAGATTTTTGTCTTAGCTCAGGAAGGATGGCTTCAGAGCAAACTAATTTATGCAGTAGCCAAATTGCTCACTCACAACTTTAATGCCAGAAGCTCACAAAGTAGAATTTTTTCTCACAAGACTCCACAGCTTAGAGGGCGCATTGCTAGAGAGTGGGCATGACTGGGTAAGTGGCAGCACTTTGGCTAAACATATTTGATATCATGTCAGTCTCATTCATAATTTGTTATGTGCAACAGCAGGCTACATTCACATAGTTTTGTGTGACGACCTCTGTAGACTCACTTGCCAGACATAAGGTTGAGAGACCAGAATTTTAGAATAATCTTAGCAGGGGAGCCATGAGTTCAAAATATTTGAGGAACACTGCCTTAGAGGCATTCCATTTATTCAAAGTATGCTCTGTCCAGGACAGTAGTGACAAAACAAAACTTTAAGCTGTATATTGTTAAATTGCACCTTAGTTTTCTTTTTCTGCTTTTCTTTTTAGCAAGCCGGTAACCACACAAGCTGTAAAAGGCTTGCTTTCCCTTCCAAAAGTTAATGAGATGCATAGCTAGACCACCCACAGATTGAAGACTTCTTTAGCAACAGTGAAGCTGTTTTAAAAAACAAAATATAAAACCATCATGACATGGACCATGTCAGAAATGCAGTTGCCACTGACCACATTAGAATGCTTCAGCTGGAAAAAGCTATAAAAAAGTAATATTCTGTGGTTAGAGTTCTTTACTTCCTTTGCAGGGTTTGTGGTGTCCTCTGTAGTCCTGGATCTTAATTTTACACTGAAATACAAACCTGATCTTAAGTCCCTTTTCATGGTAGTGCGAAAAGGCCAGATGCATAGCCAAAGCTGCTCGGTTGCTTGTGTTGGGACTAGTAATCATATTTTTGTTACATACCTTTCATGATTTTAGGTTTTTTTAAGTTAGAGCTACTTGGTTCCTTGTGATTACTTCTTATTTTTGGTACAGGAAGAGAAGCCAGACTGCATTCAGTGAGACTCTCAACTTGAGTATACATAAAATTGTAGCTTCGTTCTTATTTCCATGTAAGAAACCATGACCCAGTGCAGTCATAACCCTTAGCCAAAGTTAAAAGATTGGGAGCCAGCTGCAGGATTGCACACGTCCTGGGGCAGGCAAATGCCTTCTGCCTTTTGAACTAGGATGCTTTCATAGCCTGAGCTTTAAACCCTAGATTATTTATTTATTTAAAATATTTATGTCTTTTTTGGATTACAGGACTCAAACAGTTTACCGACTTTAAAATCATAAAACATCTAAACTCTCAGCACAGTCATACAAAAATCAAAACAAGGTATAAAATCACTCCATGTTGTTACAATACAGATACTCAGTTCAATCTTGGCATCACTTGGATCTCTGAGGATCACTTGAATACCTTAGCCCAATTCCCTGCACACCTGAGCAGTGTTCCCTCTAAGATGAGTTAGTTTGAGGTAGCTCGCAGTTTATTAGCCTCCGGCTCACACATTTTTGTCTTAGCTCAGGAAGGATGGCTCCAGAGCAAATTAACTTATGCAGTAGCCAAATCGCTCGCCCACAACTTGAATGCCAGGAGCTCACAAAGTAGAATTTTTGCTCACAACACTCCACAGCTTAGAGGGAGCATTGCTGAGCATAGGTGTTTTTCTTACTGTCTATGAACTATCATTCCACAAAAGAGGGGCAGCCACTGTCAACCAGGCTGCCTTGACAGTCCTTGCTGTTCTGCACACTGGAAATATTAACAGTGGCTGAGTGGAACACAGGAGCTGCTCTATAGGGCCATATGAGGAGAGACAGCACCTCAGGTATGAAGAACTGTAAAGTTAAAGCCAGCACCTTGAATTGTATGCAGAAGCAAATTGCCAACCAATGCAGCATTTTTAAAACTCAAGTGATAAGCATACACTGCTTGGGGTAGTGAAAATGGATGAGAGAACTTGTTCTCCTCCTGTAATACTAGAACTCAGACTACCCAGTGAATTTAATAGGCAATTGATTCAGGACAGAAAAAAGATAATAATCCTTTACTCAATTCGTAATTAAATTGTGGAATTCACTGCCAGCAGAGTTAGTCATGGCCATGAGCATAGATGGCTTTAAAAAGAGGTTAGAAAGATTCATGGAGGATAGGTCCTTCAGTGGCTGCTAGTCACAGTTATTAGCGGCAGCAATCCTCTGAATATCAGTGCTAGGGGGCAACCTCAAGGGAAGGCCACTGTACCCTCTTTGTTGGCCCTCCAGGACAACTGGTTGGCTGCTTTATGCGGCTACTGATCTGATACAGCAGGGCTCTTAAGTTCTTAACCAGTTAGGAATCATTCTGCTACATTCTGATCCAGTTGCAGTTTCCACGTTGTGTTCAGGGGCAGTCCCATGAACTCCATAGTCCAGTCTTGAAGTTCCCTCAGTGTAAATTAGCACAGCTAGGTCCGCTGAGTCCAAGAAAAGACATAGCTTCTAAGCGAAATGCAGTTGAGAGAAAGCACTGTTTGCTGCCCAGTTTGCCTAATTCTTGAAGACTGGAGGGGATTCACAAGCTTTTAACCAAGTATGTTAATGAAAGGCTCTCTCAAGTGCCATTTCCTCCTATTCACATAAGCCTCTCATAATCAGCATTCTCTCCATCTTCTGAGAATTGAATTGAATATTCTTCCTCTCACTGCATGATATACTGTCTCAAAAGTGGGTGTGAGCAGGGCTGCCAAGCCGCGGTGGGGGATCCGTGCGTCTTCACAGGATCCCTGCCGCGGGGGACAGCGATACGCGTTGCACCGCCGTCACCAGGATGTGACGCTACGTGTCGCTCTGGCAACGGGACTCCAAACAGCCCCATTGCCAGAGCGACGCGTAGCGTCACATCCTGGCGACGGCAGTGCAACACGTATCGCTGTCCCCCGCGGCAGGGATCCTGTGAAGACGCACGGATCCCCCACCGCGGCTTGGCAGCCCTAGGTGTGAGACCAAACAGTGTTAAAATGGGAGGCATTAAGGTTTAATGAACACACCTTAGTTGATGGTAACAGTGATTAATGCTAGTACAGAAATAACAGAGCCCTAAGTCAAGCAAAGTGCTAAGCATGAGAGGGTCGTGGGAAGGGGTAAGAGGTACAGTCTGTGCATGCATTTCTATGGCCTGCTTCTGATGTCTTAACCTCACTTAACAGATACATTAGCACCAGCCTCTTCAAAAAGCCCAACTTCTTTCCAAAGTGGTAGTTTCTTAGTTTGAATATCTGAACTAGATAGTGCCTTAACATAGTTTCTCAATCTGAGATAGCTCGTCAGTTAAAAATATATTTCTGTATTGCTGAGCAGTGGTCTTGGATGCCAACAACATGAGATTGTTTAGAACTGGGTTAAAGTTAATTGGGTGAAAGAGATGTCCAATAATGCCAAGTAAGTATCAGGAACAGTGCTTATGTTTGCTTGGCACCTGTTCCTTTTTAAGGAGCTTATTTTGTTAAACTGGATGGTAGAACATAGCATATAATTGCTTTTCAGGTTCCTGAAAATGGAATGTTTATAAAGTTGTTTTTTAAAAAGGAGCTGATGGCTTCCCAAAAAGTATAGTGTTGCTCACCACAATCTTTTGCTTACTTGGTCCAAGACTTGCAGTGCTCCAGTATATTTGCCAGTTTAGAATTAAAAGATTTTTCTTCCAAAAAATCATGTCATCTGAAACATTATAAGACCTAACTAATCTCAGTCAAAGGCTTTACAGTTCAAGAGTAGTTAACAAAAATAAGACTTTACAGAATATAGTCAACATTTTTTAAAATTAAGGAATTTTCCTAAATCAGTACTTCTTTCAAACTTGAGCTGCAAATTAGTGACATACTGAGAAGCACAACTTGTATTGTGTTCTCTTATGCTTGTGAACATGAAATTGAGCAAACTTCAGAGGACGGCGGAAGACAGGAAGGCCTGGCGTGATCTGGTCCATGGGGTCGCGGAGAGTTGGACTCGACTGTGCGACTGAACAACAACAAATATAGTGATTGTATAACTTGTTTATAAATAGGGGTACCTGACAAAAGATTAAAAACTTTTAAATAAAGGTTGCATGTCAGGCAAAATTCAACTGGTGTAGGAGTTTGTGATCAGTTAATTGAATTTCTGCCTTTCATGCAGCCATTAAGGAGACAGCTCCTCAGTCAGGATACATGGTGGCAGTTCTTTTCATGCATTTTGCTTCTCTAAGCAAAAGAAAGACTGGATCAATTTTTGCTTATACTGTAGTCCAGGTGGTGGTGGATTATATTAGTTTAAAATATGAAAATTTAACATCAAGTAGCCAGAGGGGAGGAAATAAGGTTGCTGTTCATTTCTATCCTGTACTTGTGCCACATTAGGAAAAGCTTTATTGATAAATTTGTGTGTGTAAAACATAGGTAAAGGGACAGGGGGAACAATAAAATGAATAAAAAGAATAAGAAAATGGTAACCTTGGGGTATAGTGGAGGACTGGGGACATGGAGGTACATAAACTATGGCATAATTGTATCCTGTCTGATTATTTTTATATGCCCCAAAACTTCCTTGTACCCAAAGCTCTTTGTGACATCCTTCTCTAGCTAAAATAACAGCTCTAACTGTACTTTTGCTGTTTCAATATCCTTCTCAGACAGATGTTTTCTGGCAACATCTTCCTGCATTAATGAATCCTCTCTCAAATAGTAAGTGGACAGCTGCAGGAACCAAATCAAGATTCTGAACACAGAAGAATAATCACCTGCTTTAAAAGAAATAAAGTACTGTTGAAAAAGAGAAGCATTTCTTTCTATTTGTTTCTAGATGTAAAATTTTAATAGTTTAATGCAGAACTCCTGTAATCATTGATTGAATCATTAGTGGCTAATGTTTGAAATGGCTCTTGCAATCAAGTCTGTGATGTTACTAATAAAGCCTTATATAGTATTTGTAGTCATTTAAATAGCATGAGCTATTGCCCTGTAGTCCAGAAGGGGTCAGTCTTGCTTTTTGTTCTCCTTAAAATGAACTTTGAATATGTTCTGGTAAGATATGTAATAATGCTGGCCATTGTGAAGGGATGTTTTCAGAACTTTAGAAAATTGTTTTGACTGTATTTCTGCACATAGTGTGTATCTGTTGTTAAAATAAATTGAAAACAACCTGGAAGTAAAACTTACATGCACAATATGAATGTTTTAAAGGTATGGTCCTGAAAGAATGTTGCTAAGAAGGTGGCACAAATATTAACGTTTGGCAGTATGCATTCTTAACTTTGCAGTACATATTACTTTAATACTGCAGATTTTGAATAGGGACCCTCACGTTGGTGGTGTCTGAGAAGATTTTGATTCTGCATTGTGTAAAATCAGAATGCACCACCATTTGTGTTGATGTTAGGACTCTGGAGGTAGTCCCTAACATAGCTGTACTTCTGATTTTTCTAATTTCTGGTGCAGTTCAGTATAGATTAATGTCCACTTCTGTGCTTTCTGCAAAGCAGTAATTCAGAGTTTTATTATGTTAAAACTGTAAATATAGCAGAATGTTAATAAATGCCACTTATATGAGTAGGGTTTTCTTTTGCTGTACATAGGTATTTGCACAGGGACCTATTTGTTTCTTAATGTAGATTTGTTTTTTCTACAGAGCAAATCATGACTACCAAATTATTCACATACAATGCTGGAACCAAATGATAAGCTTGTGATTATCCCAGTGGTTGTATCATCAATGGTTTTTGTATCTAAGTGCCCTGACTTGGATGGCCAGATCTTGGAACCTAAGCAGGGTCAGCCCTGACTAGTATTTGGATGGGCGACTTCCAAGGGATACCATGGTCGTGACAGACAATCTTAGGATCTCCTGGCTATACCACATACACTGCCATGTGATATTAGTGTGTCTAAGTGACGCAATCAGAAGAACTACATTTTTTTTCTGTATGGCATTCCTTCTCCTCCCTTAGAAGTTATCCCAGTGCTCCATTGTCCTGATATGCTTGAGGATGTGGCCTGGTGACCAATCTCATGCACTAGCTTAACCTCCTAATAGACTGCTATCTGGAAGCACTTGGGCCTTCCTGGGCTGTTGACAGATTCCTTCCTGACCTTCCCCAGGTATCTGAAGAAGTGAGCAGTGACTCTCAAAAAACTCATACCCTGCCACATATTTTGTTAGTCTTTAAGATGCTACTGGACTCTTGCTCTTTTCTGCTACCCCAGGTACGTATGTGTTGATTAAAACTGGAGCCAAATCAAATGACAGCCACTGTGAATTCAGTACTGGTGGGGATCTGCCATTGGTATTCTTCCACTGAAGGAGGAGGGATACAGTGGATTCATCTGTTACCAACAGTTCATTGTCCCTTATTTTGGGACCCCAAATTATATTATCCTAATTTCTTTGTTGTTGTGCCCTCCCTCCCATTCAATTTATGCACTGATTTCAGATACATTTGCTTGAAAGCAGGCCCTGTTGATGAACATGCTTAGCAGTGGAACCTTCATTATCCAAGTGAAGGCTTTAAATAGGTTGGGTTGAGCTCAGTCCACCACTATGCACAGTGGAGATACCAATGACCTCCTC